TAAACAACTGCAAATCCTCCATGCCCAATTATTTTAAGATCATCAAAATTGAATTGGGAATAATCAAACTTTGTTATTTTTAGTTCATTTAAATATTCTTCTAATTTTCTTAAATATTCGAATGATAACTCATTGAAATTAATATATTAGGTGGTTTCAAAATTAAAATCAAAGAATCTTATTTTAATTTTCGATTTATAATAGGTCACTTATTTTGTTTATTTTGAAACCCCTTATTATTAAATTGAAAGCTAAGATTTCAAGATATAATTAAACTACTCACAAGCATTCTCTAATTTTTGCTCTTCTCCGTTATTTTCTGTGATATTATCTTTCGAATTATTATCTATCGACATCGTTAATTCAATACTTTAAATAAAGAAAATATTATTTTGGAAGAGAGAATCTACTTGAGACAATTTTTCATGAAATTGTTGAAAATGAATTTATGAGAGTCTTTGTGAAATTATGCATGAGAAATACTATGCTATGTACGTGCTCATACGTAATAAGACTTTTATTGACTAAGGTTGCTGGGTAAAATTTCTAGGTTTAGACAGTTGTCTAAATAGCGAAAAAAGATAAAAAAAAAACTCTAATAAATGAGTGCTGCAAAGAGAAAACTTGCATTTGTGAATTTTCCGAAATCAATTTTATAAAACGATTTATCAGACACATGATCCATTATACAGAATTTATTATAGAATTCTGAAAAGCGGAGCCGGCAAAAACCGAAAATGCTTTGCAGCACTCAAATGTATATAAATACATTAGGTAAAACTAAAATTATAGTAAACTTATACGTATGAATTAGCGAAATTATATTAAGATCATAATAAATTTTTTCAGTTTTTACCTTTTGACAAATTGTGAAATTAGCCCCTAAGTTTTAATGCATGATATTAATTACAAGCAGGTGGTATAATGATTATCATTTATTATTTATTTTATTCGCATTAGCCGATTGACATATAAATAACATGGGCGTACGCTGTGAGAGGGAAAGTTCTGCTGAAGTGGTTCGGGTCGATCTAACCCAAATTGGGGGACGTCTAAAGCCGTGTCCAGTCACGTGTTTTTTGTTTTTAATTAAATTTAGGGTAAGGGTTAGTTTGAAGTTAGGGTCAGGGCATGTCTTATAGTAAAATTGTCTTCCCGACATTTTTTATTAATGCACCAAGATGGGTTTAGACTATCGTTTCTTGTATTTTTTGCGATTTTCACTTTTTTTCGCTGTTTTTTGTCTCTTCGAGCTGATCCGTGTCGATCAAAATAAACAATTCTATTGGCTTTAGGTCACGTGATTGACACGGCTTTAGACGACCCCCCAAATTGGTCAAGAAATGCCAAATTTACCAAAAAGGGCAAATATGTCATACGTATATGTCAAAATAGGTAATATAGAACAGATATGGTCGTAACGGTAAAAAGTATTTAGAACAATCATTTCGAAGTAAATAAAGGATAACTCACCATGAGTTCAACATGAATGAGTATTAGTAATAGCCCCCTTTTAAGTATTTATTGGTTATCGTATTTCGTATAACGTATTGCCTTGTCCCCGTGATCACCGCAGTATCGTAAAACACCCTATTCTCAGACCATATCAATCCACGCATCAATCGAAGCCTACCAATTAGGGTGTATAGGAAAATTTTGTTAGATTTAGTAGATTCTGTGTTGGATTTTAGAGTAAAAGCGACCCCTGTTAAATTAGTTTTTGTAGTTATACTGTCACAACGCGCAGGTAATAATTATTTAATGTGCATTTCGCGCTTACGTATACGGTAATCAATTTTTTTTTTATTTAATTGGCGATTATAAATATCGAATATTATAAATGTATAAAGTGGGACACTTGAAGAATACGTACCCCAGTGATCATCACATCACATGAAATCATTAATGACGTCATTTGTTTACTCGCACTAACAAATCGGCCTAAACTATACTATCATCTAACCCTAACCCTTACTCTAATTTAGGCCGAGTAATTTAATCATGTGATGTGATGACCACGAAGATATCACGGGGTACTTATTCTTCAATCTTCCCGTATAAAGTTATTCAAATTGCAATATCTTTTAAATGAGTAAATGTGAACAAATAAAGTTAAGTTTATCTGACTTTTAATGCTTTCTTTTTTTAACCAAGATAAAGAAAGATCAATTATCGAAATCAGATAATTTCTAAATAAAAATATAAAAGCAAAAAATTCATTAAGAAGAGTTTAATTTTAGTATGTATATTTACTAATTCAAGACATATCAGGGATGGTAAATGACCTGGTCATTTAATCAAAATTTAAATAATCAGTCATCAAATAATTACCTGTCATTTGGCAATTAAGGTCACCTGAGTCATTTGCGCATAAAATAATTTTATTGGTTTGGTAATTAAAAAAGTTGTTAGTTTTCAAGTCAATAACTGTAACGACATATACGTATAAGTTTTACTAAGCTAGTCGTTATTTACTGAATAAAGTTGTTCTGAATAACAAATTGCATATACTAGGGGGTTTCAAAATTAACAAATAAGTGACGCATTTCGAAGCAATTTTACTATGTTGAATTATAAATCGGAAAAATAAAATAAGATTCTCTGATTTTAATTTTGAATAACTTTTTATTAATTCACTTCTGCAACTTACATTTAAATAAAAAAATTCTTAATCTTCCATAAATGTTAAAGTGAATAAATAAAAAGTTAATCAATTTACTGAAACTTTTGGAGTATATATGTTGTGCCTCAGATTAACGCTTGCGTGAGATTGCAGCTGACGCACCTCAGATGTGATTGTTTGACCAGCATTAACTGATCGACAATAATTGGCCTAAATTATACCTTCACCCTTACTCTAACTCTAACGCTAATTTAGGCCGGTTTTAATCTCACGCAAGCGTTAATCTGAGGCACGACATATACAATTTATTTTGAAGCTTTACTTAAGACATAAAAATTGCTAGCTTAATAAAATTTGACTTTTAAAAAAGTTAACGATTATTAATTATGTTTTTGCAAACCAATTTGATTGGTTAAAAAGTGTGTAAAATGTCCTTCTCGGTCATTTAGCATTCGAAATGACCAACGACTAATTATTTGTCATTTGAGTCGTTTCAAGTCATTTACCATCCCTAAGACATATTGTACATAATATAAATTTATACGCTTTTACTATTTATCTGTTATAGATATATCATTACGCCACCTGCACTATGTTAAATTAGATATCCAATGCTTTAAGTAATAATTTTAGTAGATACTCTTTAAGTACGTACGTATCTAAAATAACAACTCCAGAGAAGTGCACTCTGGAATTTTGTGCTAGGTTTTGTCGACAATTAAGAAAAAAGATTTTCTATCTTAAAATTTTGGGAAATTTACATATGAGCCGACAAATGAAAATATTTAAATTTGTATTATGATGATAGTGATTATTTAAACGTTATCACTGTATATACATTATACAATATTCTTTCACTTAAACTTTCACTTAACCTTTCACTTAACCTTTCACTTAACCTTTCACTTAACCTTTCACTTAACCTTTCACTTAACCTTTCACTTAACCTCTCACTAAACCTTTCACTAAACCTTTCACTTAACTTTCACTAAACC